CGATGCATGCCATGATTCTAAGTGGCAACGGTATAGTCTCGTCATCAAATATCGGCACCATCTCTTCTTCCTTTGCCAAGCACAGTCGGCACAGCTCGTTCACATGAATAATAACGTTGCTTGGGCCGTCGCCCTTTTTTCTACTATACGTTTTCATTATTGTTAGAAAGTAGTATGTATTTCTTCCTGTTCTTCTTCTCCTTCTTCTCCTTCTTCTTTTCGGACTTCTTGTTGTTCTAGTTCCTTCTTGTTGTTTAAAAAATGAGTGAAATTAATGTGTATTATTGTGTGTGTAACAATAATATTCAATATCTTCTTGGCGTCCCTCACGGATCTTTCGTGCGTAACTATTTATCACGGAAAATATTAGGAGCTCTCCCTTGACAAAAGATCAGACGTACTCGGTCACTCACAACGGGATCTATAATGGCTGCGGCGTACCGTCATACAAGGTTTCTCGACCAATGAGCGCTTAACATGGCGTTGCGATCGCATCTTCTTCTTTCCATGTTCGACGTGGATGATGACAACGACGACGAACACAACGACAACGACAATAGCAAATTTCCGTCGTTATTTCTTCAATTAAAAAACTAACGCGTATAAGGAAATAATATAATATATGTATCAATTTATTTTTAAATCATAGAGGAATATACGATACGATAATACACAAGTGATATCTCATTTTTTGAAGAGAATTACAAATAGAAAATATACGACAACCCGCGTAGGGAATCCATTTTGAGAAAACACATCTTGTTCCTGCATCGCGAGTCGGTAAGGGCGGTAACTTTTATTGATCTATTCTTTTACGTTCTTCTCTACGGCGGGAAACCTCTACCATTCGTTTACTTTTTCTTTTTTACTTGGTTTCTTTTATTTTTTACTTTTTTCTTTTCGTACTAGGAGGGTAAGAATTTTTTCAACAGACCCGTTTCTCAGTATTTTACTTACACTCAATTCGACTCATTCCTTGGACAAAAATAAATTGGAAAACAAGAAATATATAAGAAACTAACAAGCCAAAAAAGGAAAGAATATAAATATAATGCTTGAGATAATTTTTTAATGGTTTTATTAGAAATAATAAATATTTGATTGTACGATAAAGGATATTTTGTAAGATGAACACGAATAATATCGACAGGTTTGTTTGTGAACGAACTGTTAGAATGTTTTAGTTCCTATGTCCTGATCGTCGATATAGCCGTAATTCGCAGGTTATGGTACAACGCGTGATATATCAAATGCCATTCGATTATCGAAAGTACGGTGTACAACTTTGGAATATGATGACATAGAAATCGATTAACGTTCGTTTGTTACTCTTTCGGTAAGAATAATTTCTTTTGTAAATACATATCATTTATTTTTTGAAATTTATCGTACCATTAATTCGCATAAAAATTAATATTTCAAATAAATTATGAATATTATAATAGAATCGATTATTAGTAAAGATTCATATTCATTAAGTAAAATATCAACATTTTGCTTATAGACTTAATCAAAATTATAATAAATTTATTATAAATGCTGAGTTTAAATGAATTATTTATTTATTATTTACTATATATCTATTTATAAGTATATATAACATAATTAGTATAACATAATAATAAATTGATAATTAATTTATTCTCAGGCCCTATTTCGTGCCAATATTTTGTTACGTTCCTATTTGTTTTGATTTAACATCAATTATAAGAGTTTATTACATTACCGACATTATATACACTCACAATATATAATACATTAAATTTATATTTAAATAATCATTATTATGTTAAAGAACAAAAAGGATAACAACATAAATAAGAGTACTTTAATAAAAATATATTAAATGCTTATTATATCTTTCTTTTTCGTTTTGTTAATTATGATAAGAAGAATGTAAAAAATGGTCTCAATAATCTGTAAAGATAATTTTGTAAACGTGGACTACAAATAATATCGCCATCTAACGATGAAAATATAATTATAAGAAATCAAATAGCGCGCCAATATTTTCGGACACTCGATATAGTTGATTTTTTTATCGGCAGGTGGACGCAGCGTCCATCTTGTGCGTAAAAATGGCGCGTCAAATATACAGATTTCGTTTGTTGGACAAAAATATCTTTTTTAAATAATTGATAATAAACATTGTATATTAAAAAAAAAAAAAACAGAAAGAGATAAATTAATCGTAAGTAATATTAAAATTATTCATATCACCATACAATCTTTCTCAAAAAGAAATAAATAAACTCTAGAAATATATATCTCCGTAATCATCGCGCCAACGTAAGAGAATATAAATGATTAAAAGTTTATTTAGTTTAAAAAGTAAGCTTTGCATATTTCCACCTATCCCATAAATTACATTAGTTTATTTTTGAAATCTTGATACATGCACACATAGATGTAACGATGGAATCAAATAATTTATAGAATATCTCATAAATTTTCACAATCATCTAACGGATTAATCGTATTTTCCAGGTTATCTCGCTAATAAAAGTAAAAGATCAAGTACTACCCGCCATAAAGGCGACCATTTTGCGCGGGAGTTTGGAATGGAAAGTTGAGCGGGAGGTTTTAACTACGTTCTTTTGAAAATATTCGAGAAAACGCAAATGAGTTTCTTACGTTTGCCAGGAAAGTGGTTGGACACGATGGATGATAGCGGTGGTGTGAGGGGTCTCGAAAATAGCTTCGTCCTGTATTAATATGAGAATGAGAATGAGAGAAAGAAAGAAAGAGATAGAGGAAGAGAGAGAGAGAAAGAATGAGGAAGGGTGGAAGAGAAGAAGAGGGAGAGATAGTCATCACTCCACTGGTACTCTCGCATGCTTTTGCTTTTACGAGTCCAGTGTGTTTCGATAGACGAAGAACGCGTGTTTCACCTTTTCGACAGGAAGGTAAGTTTAAAAGCTTCTAAGAAATGAAAGTTTCCTTTCTTTCTTTATTTCTTTTTTCTTTTTCTTATTTTCGTACATTTTACTTAACACCATTTTTGATTCTTTTTAGACCGGAAACGGAAATATAATTCTCTTTTGGTTGAATCATTTTATTCTTCTTTTTCTTCATCATCTTATATTTACGATTTTTCTTTTTCCTCTTTTTTTCTTTTTTGTAAATTTATTTATAGGACATATGTAATTAATGTATTTGTTACAGAGACAATGAGCAATGTATGTATTTATACATTTGTTTAGTGATTCTATCCAAACGCTTACATTTATCTTTTTATTAAACTGGAAATTTTTATATATATATATATATGTACATGTATATGTTGTATCTTAGTATAATCTTAATTTATTACACTCATTCTTAGATTTCTAATTTTACTCATGTTATTTTTGTGTATCTCTTTAATACTTTTAGTTTTGTATATAGTATTTGAGAAGATATAGGGGAGAAACGAGAAGATACGGAGAATTCGAGGAAGAAGATAAAAAAAAGAGAAAGAGAAAGAAGGAAGAGTTTCTTCCGCATTGTAAACTTTTTTTTAAAAAAAGTCGTAGTCTTTTATTATATTAGAATTTGTTTACAATATCTTTTTTATTTATACTATAAAATCATATTTTTTAATGGTTTTTTTTAATTATAATTAATTATATTTCTTCGTCAGATCATCGAGTTTATTTTATAATCTTCGCATAATATGTACTTCCTATGACTATATACACTGGAATATGCAATTTCGTATATATTTATGTATGTATCGTAATGCAGATACACGAAAATAGTTCGGTTAATCTTTAATATCGGTACGGAGAAGAAAAGCGTGTAAACAATCTCGGCTCTTGGATATCTCGATGTCGAATACTTGGCACGATATTCAGTGTTGATTGCACAAAGGGAAATAAAAGAGAAAATACGAGAATTAGGATATAGAACACACATTAAGTGTGTATATATTACAACAACAACAAATTTCAATTAACAAAAAGAACAAGCAAAAGAAAAAAGAAGAAAATAAATATTGGAGATTATTGTTCATAATTTTTATTTAAAGACTTTTTTTTTTCTTGTTTTCATTTTTTAAATCTGGCATGCATTTTTCGGTCTGAGGAATCAAATTTCAAAGAAGAACTGCTCTCTTTCTCTCTCTCTCTCTCTCTCTTTATGTTACTCTTTCTGTTTCAATCCAAGAGCTCGCCCAAATACCAACGAAGCTGGTGGAAATAGAAATGAGTTATGTAAATGGAAACGGATATCAAAATTTCACGTTAGCAGTTGTCGCTGTGCGTTACCAATCCCGAAACTAATTGTCTTCGATCTTTCGAAAGATTTTTGGCTTGATTACTATTTTACCTTCGATATGTTGCCCTCATCATCATCATCTTCGTCGTCGTCGTCGTCGTCGTCGTCGTCGTCGTCGTCGTCGTGGTCCAGAATTTTTTGGATTATATCGTATAATGCAATATGATCCCTATACATACGATATTCATGAAAGCTGACGTATAACTTCGTTAAAAGAGGGAAAAGTGGGAGAGATGTAGAGATTTTGCGGACGATGTAGATATATTCAGACGGAATTTTGTAGCAAAAATAACTATGGTAGGCCAACGGTAACTTGTACTATTCCCCCTTCGAACATCGAGATATTTTCAGTTAGAAATCTTAATTTTATCAATTAATTTATGTTTATATTACAGAAGTCTTTTTATTTTCTTCTTTTTAGGTTTAGTCTCGAGTTGCTCTTTAATTAACTCTTCCAAGGATTCTACTCAATGAAACTGATTCCTTTTGTTATTTAGTTTCATTCATTCATAATTAGAATATTTGTTAAACCAACTAAACTTCAGCATCAGGATACTTCAGTAAGAAATGTTTTATTTTTTTCAATTAATTTCTTTATATCTTCAGTTTGTTAATATTTCTTCTTCTTTGATACATAGGCTGAATTTGATACATGTTAATTATTAAAAGGATTTCACTAATGAAATTAGAGTATCTTTTGTTTCAATTTCTTGGTTTCATTCATAGAAGATTAAAATATCTATTTAGAAATAGAACGTGTTTATTGGAAAAGTCATATGAAAATTTGCCGTATGTTGGCTTAAGTGCTTGTTCTCTCGTCAATGTCACTTTCGACATTTGAGAATAGTCGTTGTAACTTAAGCGATGAACAACTTACTCCTATTTCCAAAGCTGAAAGATAGTGTCAGTGAACTCTCTTAGGAAATACTTCGAACTGGATACGAAAACTGTTCGAGTATTATCGTTTTCAATAGGTTAATAGTATTTGAACGATCATACGTGTATACGTGTATGTATGTATATGTACATATGTTGCGTACTTCTATACATATATTTTAGTGCTTTTTCGTCATATTTTCTCGTTTACTTCATTTACCACTTTTTGGCACGATTTTAAAGAACATCCACTAAATGTTTGTAATACACGATAGTTTGTATCTGCGATTAAATGTCCAAACACTGCGGCGAAGAAGAATCTTCGAAGTAATGATCGCACATAAGCGATGATTCTTAGCCAGTAGAATTTCTGATGTCTTTTCTGTATCACACTTGTGCCTGACGATTAGTAATCGTGTTTTAAGTTAAATACTTGAATCATCTTGACCATTTATATCTTCAGACTAAGAAGAGTATAGTTTGTATTGATCGTATCGGTGTGTTTTAAATAGAAAATAAGAAGACGAAGAGTCGATATTAATTATAGAATGAAATTAACTAAATTATTGTATCATCTGAATTTATTTGAATGTTATTATAATTGATATTTTGCTTTTAGCTAGAAGAAAACAAAGAAAAATAAATAAAGAAAAGAAAAAGGAAAGGAAAAAATATGGCTGAACAGAAAGTGAAATACGTGAACAAGCAATTCAACTCTCCTATCAACTTGTATTCACCGCAAGCGATAAAGGAGACTTTGGAGAGGCAAACTCAGGTTCTGGCTAATGGAGCAGTCGGGTAATGACATTCGTACTTAAAATATCACTCACACGACCTACGGAAGAATGCAACGAGAAATAAAGGGAAAAATATTCATCCCTTGAGACAACGTAATCGTTCCTCATTTCTCTCTTTCTAAATCCCACGACAATCCAGGTTAAAAATTCAACTCATAAGTTTGAGAAATGCTATTAAAACAAATCCAATTAATTTATCTCATATTATTCTCACAATCGGAGAATAATTCTCATTATTTTAAAGAGTCATATAAAATCTTAAGTCTTCTTTTTAATCTTATCTGAATACTTTTAGTCGAGTGATTGTATCTTAATTGCTATATTTATTTTTATGATATATATATATATATATATATATATATATATATATATGAATGAAGGTAGATAAAAAAAGACAAAGAAAATAACAGATTAGGTTTATTGACCGATTGAAAAATGTAAGTATGTCAACAATCTTACCTCAGTTCTATATATAGAAGTATTATTATAGCATATATTCATATATATGTACTATTATAATATAGTATAGAAAATTCCATAATAATACAAATATATCACATATAATTATAAAATATTTAAAGTGTAATATATTTATAAAATTGGACAGTAGTTATAAATATAGAATATTCGTTTATGTTTATAAATAAATCTCTCTAATCTCGGTTTTGAAGTATCGACGAGTGATGACGATTTATAAGATAGGATCTCACGCATAAGTGTTTTATACGAGAGTCAAGAGATGAATCAGCAGAGAAAACAGCAGCAGCCTGGTGGTGTTGCTACCACCACCGTCGTCCTCTTCGTCTTCGTCATTGGCGAGAGATCCCCCGTTATTTTCAGAGGGCCGAATCACACCGGTTAGAAATAAACGCGAACTCGGAGGCTAGTCGTTGCGCAAATCCCGTGAACGTCGTACTTGACTTAGTTTCGCGTTTGATGGCCCCTGGCTATACGGTTGACCGCAGTCTCTCGTGATTTTCGTGATACCACCCCTGTTATTCATTTTGCGCGTTCGTTTCATTTATTCAATTATTTACCAGTATGATCGCTCAAAGAAGGTTCGATTCTGTTTTCATTATTTTCTTGTTTTTTTAAATATATTTTACAAATTTCATTTATTATTTTATATAAGATGTCAGGTCAATAGAACAATTTGGCTCAGTTTCTTATTTGATTTCATTATGCAGATACATTTTCATCTAATGTTTCTTTTAAATTTGATAAAATTATACAAAAATTTACTGTCAAATTTTATGAATATTTTACATGACAAAGCTTGGCTCTAATCACCTCGTTAAATAATTCATCTTCTCTTTCTCTTTCTGCTACTTCATAAAAATAATTATTTTATAAATCAACAGAACAGATTCTGACAGTATCTTTTATTGTTTTAGGATCGACTTCAACCAACTGGCAAAGCCGACAAATTTGCAAAACAGCGCAGTACTACGCATGCTTGAAGAAGAAGAAGCAAGACAAAGGGGTGGTCAACCAAGTAAGTATTACTATTTCTTGTATCTTCATTTATTTCGTTCACCTGCTCAATAGGATTATATACATAGTAATATCGTTTGAAGACATTATGCACATGTTCTTATCGTTGGTATATAATTAATTGTAGGCAAATGTCCGTACGTGCTAATTTAACGCGATACGACACATCGTTCTTTAACGTCTATGATGCATCTTTGATTCATTCGTTATAGATACATTTACTTTTTTCTCTCTTCCTCTATATACCACGTGTCTGGCAATTATTCAAACGTTAAATTTCACCAAATTAACGATAGACGTGTAAAACATAGAAACCTTGTTTTCTTCGTTTTCTTTTTTTTTTTTTTTATTAATGTAGGATCATTCTAATCCCTTAAGATGAATTTGATGAAAATAAATTTTGACCTTGCATGTGCCGAGTGCATGATAAAATATAACATCCGATAATTACTAAGATGATCTAATGATGAGAAATTGTTTCAAATTAATCATTTGTTTTAATTTAATTTATTCAAACGTGCTTTCATGTGTATCGTTAAAGTTTATTAATTATTTTCTTTTTCTTTCCCTTTTTTAATTTTTTTTTTGTTTTTCACATACGTATAAATATTCTATTGAAATTAAATCTCAATTTAACTTGATCGATTTATATTTATAATATATAACTATTATGCTTCAAATTTTAGCAAGCTAATTTTACTTTTAATTTTATTTACGCTTGCTGCTTTTGCCCAGATCCGCAAGAAACGGAACTTATACCGATCGTCGCAGGAGACTAACAAGATCACTGACACGCAAGGAATATACCGATCTACTACCAATACCACGAGAAAAATAAAAGTACGAAGGATTTTCTAGTACCTACTAATTTAGATCAAGAAAAGAGGCATTTAACACGTAAAATATCATACAAATCCAATGGCACGAGCTTTAGCGATCCTCTTCTAACTTCGAACGATTCGAAAGATCATTATGATCTTTTTATTAAATCAAAAGGCTTATGTCATTAATAATCTTACAAGCGAATGCGCCAATTTTGTTCAATTGCAACAGGTAATCATGAAATTTAATTTCATTCTTATTTCATTATTTAATAATTATTTATGCACGACGCGTCGAATGATCCAGATTTATTATACATTATTATTGGTAGATTATTTTCAATTTCAAACAATTTACGTTGTATGAAAAAGAAAACATGATGTAAACAGTAAGGATGTGATAGTGATTTACCGGTAAGGTAATGATTTTTTTACGAACCAATCCAAATATGCGCATTTTATATCTTCGAGTGGTTGTTGGATTTTTGTATCACCCCCCACTCTTTGGCCAATCACCAAGAAATCTCTAAAATCGGTGGCCAGGTCATTGCGGCAATCATGAAAGGTGGAAGAAATGTTCGTTTAGCGTTAGTAGTTGGCCAGTTACTGTTTTGGCAAAGTCGTGTTTTCTCCGACTTAATACACCTGAATTAGTGGATACTTCGTTTCCAAAATTTGAAACAAAAGACACAGGGTACGTTGTGACGAATATCATTTCGTAATATATATAATATATATATATATACTATATATATATATATATATA